TTAGTATGATAATCAAATCATTTAAGAGAGTAGTTTTCACTTATAATTCCTGTCTTCTGCAGGGGTCCTTCGGGGAAATTTTGAAGGCCTATTGGCGTGGAACCCCTGTGGCTGTCAAGCGTATTCTTCCATCACTTTCAGATGATAGACTCGTGATGTAAGATCCAATATCTTTCTAGTTCCATCTGATAAAGACCTTGTCTGGTTGCGATTGTATGTCCCATTCTTTTTCTAATTGATAAAAAACACGTTGAAGGAAATAAAATAAGAAAATAACGATCATTTATAAATGTAGTTGACTTCTAAAACCATGCATGTATTCCTAAGGTACAACAGAACAGTGAACTTTACGGAAAATTTTCTCTTATATATATATTTTTTCATGTTGCCTTTCCTTGAACCGGCAGCCTGACATCTGATTCCAGCAGTCCCAGTATTCATCAGAACCCCTCAAAACTCTCTTTTTTTTACTAAAATTTACTTTCTAAAGCCTCCTACCACTTTCCTCCATTAGTTTTTCTGTAAATCTTTTTTCTTTAATAATTACAATAACCATCTAAATTTTTACTAAATTAATGGGATTGGAGTTAATTGTGTTGGTTTTTCTCATTCAGTCAGGACTTTCGACATGAGGTTAATCTGTTGGTGAAGCTACGCCACCCTAACATTGTCCAATTTCTTGGAGCTGTCACCGAGAAGAAACCACTTATGTTAATCACTGAATATTTAAGAGGGGTAAATGACAGTTTCTTTTTATTCGATACTGAAAGTTTTAGGTTTTGTTATTTTTAAGTTGTAATCACTCATGCTGGATGACATTGGTTTCTTAGGGCGATCTTCACCAGTACCTCAAGGACAAAGGTTCCCTCAGTCCTGCTACGGCCATAAATTTTGCACAGGACATCGCCAGGTAAAAAAGAATTGATTCCTTAAAGCTTTTATAGAAAGAATTAAGATGCCCCGGAAGATTTTTGGTAATAAAAGAAAAATTTTGAACATTTTAGTAGTTTTGCAATGGACATTACCAGATAAATGAATGTTGCGTTAATTTGGCTCCTCACTGCCCATAGAAAAATGGAAGATTGTTCTCCCTATGTAATACCGTTATTTCCTTTTAAACCTTGCGATTTTATTTGTGGTAGAATTCATCGTACCTTTCTTAAAAACGTTCATGCATGATTATTTTAATGTAAAGGAACATGAATCCTTGAATATTTTGCCCAAGAATAAATAAGTTTCTTCGATGATTATTGGAAATAAAAGAACAAATCCAAAGATTAATTTATTTTCCTTTTACTTGGATTCTGCGTTGCCAGAACTGATCTTCTTACGTTACTTTGCGTAAGTTGAGATCTAAGCTTCAGTAGCAGGTTTCTCTAAATGCTTGCAAGTTGCAAATACATAGGGTGCTTAATTTTCAGCTGCTTGATTTTGGTTTTTATTTATTGATTTATTATTATTATTATTTTAATGCATAATGAGGGGGGCATTTTACTCGACAAATTGTCATGTTGGATTGCTTTGAATCTCTTGTATAATGTATCAGCCTAGTAAAAAAACCTGATGAAATAAATAGAAAGCAATTCCCTGCACTATTGCTTTATCTGGAAAAAGATGCTGCTTCTATAATGCTATAAGATCTTTTAGTGACTTTCTTTAAATTTGTTCATTTTATCGAAAGAATATCTGCACAGTCTATTAGCTAAACTTTCACAAATTTCCGGGCCGTGTATTTATTTGCGAACAAGCTCATTTGGTTGTTTGAGACATTTACTGATTTTGATGTTGGGTCTCTTTTTCTTCTTGATTAGAGTAGGCTATATATCATAGTATCTAAAATCTCATTGTACTAAAATTCTAGAAATTCATGGTCATGACGAAGTAATTCATCTAATGTTTAACCAAGTTGAATATTTGCTCCTTTGGACTTTACTAGTCGTGCTAACTAGTTTGATAACAATTCCTATTCTAGGGGAATGACTTATCTCCACAACGAGCCAAATGTTATAATTCACCGTGACCTAAAACCTAGGTGAGTTCCAAACTTCTATCAGCATGCAATCTCTCCCACTCTTTTTTTTTTTCCAAGGGATTTACGTCTGAGACTTGAGAAACCATATCACCAGTTTTTGCTGTCATTTTGTATTCAGTGTAGATTTGGATTTGGTTTGCTGTCATCTTCTTTTATTATTGGAAGTGTATTTTGAAATTCCAGGAACGTTCTTTTAGTCAGCTCAGGTGTGGAGCATCTAAAAGTTGGCGACTTTGGTCTAAGCAAGCTCATCAAGGTTCAGAATTCACATGATGTTTACAAAATGACAGGCGAGACCGGGAGCTGTAAGTAGTGCCTATCATACCGTTATTTTCAGTTTTCTATAACTCTCTACTACACAAATCTTCTTTATCATGTTGTGCATGTGCCGAAAAGACCGGTATATGGCTCCTGAAGTTTTTAAGCACAGAAAATATGATAAGAAAGTGGACGTGTTTTCTTTTGCGATGATATTATACGAGGTATTATTTGCGTTCGCAGGAATATTAGTAAATTTTTATTGCAAGATATACATTTGACTCGCAACATTCCAACTGGTGCAGATGCTGGAGGGAGACCCTCCACTGGCAAATTATGAGCCGTATGAAGCTGCCAAATACGTGGCTGAAGGTCATAGACCGGTGTTCCGTGCGAAAGGATACCTTTCTGTTCTAAGAGAGTAAGTCGATCATTCCTGTTTCCCTTTCAACCTAATCGTTTAGTTATTTTTCTCATGTGAATATCTCCCACTCGAACTTAGATTCCTCAATGTTACTCCCAACATTGAGATTGCTTCTTCTCATGAAAAAAAAAAAAAAAAAGAAACAATTTCATTTTAGATCAATTTATGGAGATAGCTTGTCATTTATTATACGAGCCTCTTCTGGCTTCATTCTTCCCAGGTTAACTGTAGAATGTTGGGCAGCTGATATGAACAAGAGACCTTCTTTCTTGGAAATTCTCAAAAGACTTGAAAAGATCAAGGAAAGATATACCTACTGATCATCACTGGAATTTGTTTAATGCATAGCATTGAAAGTGATGGTATGATTTCATGTGTGAATGCAGTACGGTATGTGGTTCCTAACATTCAGCTTTCTTCTGCTCGATTATATTCCCCTGAAGTTGCTAGTTTCTCTTGACTTGCAAAGGCTGTGAAGAAAGATTTTACGGCTTCTTTCACCCTCTACTCAAATGGTGATTTTGATTGAAATATCTCATTTTTCTTCACCTGCCCACTCTAGTATTGTCATCCCCAATCCCAATCCCTGTCCCATTTTCCGTGGAGGAATCTCCACCAGAATGTGGCCTTCTTCAATGTCTCCCATAGCATTTAATCGTTTCTTCTCATCTTTCAATTGTAATTTAGATTTGGTGACGAGGAAAACTCAAGCATTCTATGTACTTCTACTTCCATGGCTTCTCTGATTCTGTCTTTTCGTGTAAAGAATGGATTTAGTTTTTGTTGCAACAGGATGCGTGCTGTAGACTAGATGATTATGGGAATTTTCTGTTTCTGCATGCTCCAGACTTGAGCTTTTCCTTTCAACTTCATTTCTCCAATATGCACTCGAGTTCTTTGATTCTTCCTCGAAGTGTCTGATTCTCTATCGAACCGCGATTTCCACCGGCGAATCTGAGACTTGGAATCTGACTCCCCCAATTTTACCTCAAAAATAAAACTAAATTAATAAAAATACGGACTTCAATGTTATTAACCTTAAAAAATGCCTTATCATTCATTAGTATTAGTTTTTTTTTTTTTTTTAAATGAAAATTAGTAGTAATTTATTTTTAAAATATTCTTAAATTTTTTTTAAAAAATTATTAATACTTTTCAAACATTTTTTAAAATATATATATATATATATATATATATATATCATTTAGGTATAAGAAAATACCCATAACATTTAAAAATTTAAAAATATGTTTAATATTTCTAAGTTTTTAATAACGTCATTCATATATATATAGATGAAAAAGTAAAACTTTTGAATATTTAAGAATATTTTTAAAATATTATTAAAAGTTATGAGGTATTTTTGAAACTTATTTACAAGTTGAATGTATTTTTGAAATAAATTATTAATGATACAAACATTTAATTATGTTTTTCATAAAGGATTTGATATTTTCTCGGCTTGGCCATTTGGCCTTCAATTTTGTAAGGTTATAAATTGATTTTCATTGACTTTTTAAAAATTTTAAATTCCAAATTTGATAAAGACAATAAATTTATTCAAAATTTTTAAATTCCAAATTTGATAACGCAAACCATTTTCTAAAAATAAAAAACTAAATATCCACCAACTTCAAAGTTAAGAACCTAAACTTGTAGCTAAATATCCACCAACTTCAAAGTTAAGAACCTAAATTTGTAGGGTAACCTTTTTTTTTTCTTTAATTTAGAAGGATATAATTTTTTGAACTTTAGATTATAAGTGATATCTCAACTAGTTAAACTATACACTTTTTTCTTTAATCTAAAATAGTTTTGAAGATCGTTCTTATTATATTTGTCACACTATTTACTATTTACTACCCGTGAAGCTCAATTGAAGTCACCCGTTCTCTGAAGATAGTTACAACCTATGCCACAATAATCTTCCTTTTTTTAAGAAAGAACTAATTTATTTTTTCTATATTAGCTTTAAACATTTAACGAATTCCGCAGTAGAAAGGCAGCATATGCACCACTTTCCTCATAGAGAAATCTAGAAAGATTTCAACAGCATTTAATAATTTCCAATTCCATCGAAAAAAAAATTTGCAAATTTTCTTTTAAGGTGAATTTCGATTTCATGATTAATTTTTTTCCCTTTTTTGTTGGATAATGTTGTAAGACATTTAGAAGAAGAATCGGTTGCTGTAAAAACTGGATCTTACGTTCGTCCATTTCTCAACAAAAATTAATAAACTAAAAAATGCAATTGACCGCAAATGTCTGGAAATTGCATCAAATTAATATAAACACATCAATTTTGTAGACTTTCTTGTGTTTGCTTCTACACCCAAACACACTAATCACTATTTTCCAAGTCCCACGCAAATTTCAGCGTTCCTTTTCTTCCTTGTTTGAGTTTCAGAGTTGGAAATATATAGGAAACGGCAGAAATTTGCGGGAAAGTTTAATGAGAAGGCATTTATTTTGTCATTCCAGTTTAATTTTCTTCATTTTTAGCTCGTGAATCGCCACCTCCATTCCGCACCCCTCTTCATTTCTGATGTTTTTCTGTTTCTTCTTCAATCCAAACAGCCCCATTAGCTGAAATTCTGATTGATTGCCCGATTCAGCCTTTTGGGCTTTCCATCTACTGAGATTCAATTCCCCTAGCTGAACCGATTTGCATGATCGCGACAATTTAGTTTACTGTAAGTTGTTTGTGTTCTTGGGTGTGGAGCGGGCTTCAATCCCCGAACGGCGATGCAAATCTGGAAATCGTAAGCCTCGGAATGAATATTTTGAATGTGGGAATTGATTGGATAGGGGAGCAGTTTGAATGAGGCAGCAATGTGGTGTTTAGCGGAGCAATGGAAGTTAGATCTGAGGGTGTACAAGTTAGGTCCGATAAACTCCCAGTTCCTGTAGTTCCGAGGACCCGTTTGCAGGTTTGGTTTGTTCGCATCTGCTCCAGCATTTTGCTCTGGACATTTTTTGTTCAGCTCGTTGCATTTGGGAAGTTATGGCATCCACTTTTTATATCCAATATAACCAATCGGATTTCGCAAGTTACTGGGATTCCGCTCTCGCTACACGTCGGAGAGTCCGTTCAATCGGCGCCGCTTCTTCCAGCAAGTGAGTTCCTTAATCTAATCCGTCTTTCTTTCATCGGAATCTGTTGGATTTTAGGTGTTTGATTGGCGCAATGATATGCATAAATACGTTTGTTCTTGTTGCTGTGTGCGGAGTTGTTAATTTCTGAGCATTGCGTAAGGGCATGTCTTGAGGTATCAATGTGACCACCACCGTTCTCATTGGATTGTCTTGGTTTGAAAGCAATGCATACAAGAGTGTAGCCATAGTTGGGTTTAGTTTAGTTTGTTTTCATTTCTTCAATGAAAAGTTTCGTTTATGGGTTTAGTTTATTACAGTATAGAGTCACTGCACCGTTCAGCTGGTGGATTTGTTTAGCTTAAGAGCATGGACTGTTGAGTTCACCAACATCTCTTACTTGGTTCTTTTTGCTTGAGATTATAAGTATCTATGAATTGTGGAAACCACCAATGTTATTCTATATATTACAAAGTTACACCTGATGTCGAAATGCGTTGTGAGATCCCACATTGATTGGAGAGGGGAATGAAGCATTCCTTATAAGGGTGTGGAAACCTCTCCCTTGTAAACGCGTTTTGAAACCTCTCCCTTATAAGGGTGTGACAGTTATACGTAACGAGCCGAAGCGGACAATATACTAGTGGTGTGCTTAGGCTGTTACATGCGTTATCTGATCAATCAAGCTTATTGGATAAAAAGCAATGATATTATTTCCCTTTTAAATTTGTGGAATCAATTTTCCTTTGCGCTCTTCCTACAAATAAGCTATGGAACTTCAGTGGCATCACTGTTGAGCTTCTTGGATAATTCATCCATTCCAGTCTGGCTACCATATCATTCAATCTCTAAATGTATCTTTTCCGCCAACTGCTTTGGGGAGAATTTGACTTAAAGACCTCAATTTGTGCAGGGAACTATTCAAGTAATGGTTATCTTCGAGTGTCCTGCAATGGGGGCTTAAATCAGATGCGTGCTGCGGTGTGCACTTTTTTACTTGCTTCTTCCCCCCACGTCTTCCTAATTTATGCCTATGTTATTGTTTGTACTTCTCTTCCTTCAAAGGATGATATATTGGACTCATCTAATTAAGCATTTCAGATCTGTGATATGGTGACCGTTGCTCGCCTTTTGAACTTGACGTTGGTTGTTCCAGAACTTGATAAAACATCTTTTTGGGCGGACCCGAGGTATGTTCCTTTTCTTGCTATCTGTGATTTGGTTGCTTTCTCTAACAAAAATTCCAGTATGTTAACACCGAGCTCTCTCGTGCAGTAATTTTGATGACATATTTAATGTGAAGCATTTTATTGATTCGCTGAGAGACGAAGTCCGCATTGTCAGAAGACTACCCAAAAAGTTCAATAGGAAGTATGGATTTATACCATTTGCCATGCCTCCAGTTAGCTGGTCAAACGAAAAATATTATTTAGAACAGGTTCGTATTATTTTTTCTCACTTGTACACTAGTTTTTCATATTGCTTATCTTTTATGTACATATATACAACCAAGATCAGATGGTAGTACATGAGAATGTCCATGATCCAATTGCAGAAATGATAGGCTATCATCATCACGCCTAGTTTTTCATATTTCTCATTAGATGCAAATTTAGGTTCCTTGGATGGTCAAACGATGCTTCTGGGATATTTACCAAATTGTATGTAGATACCAATCAAATGCAGCTTTGAGATTATTATCTTGTTGAGGTAATGCTTGGTCTAAATTGAGTCTTTCCTGAATCGGTGGTCTCACTGGTACTCTATGTCAATTTTTTTTTGCCTTTACTCAAACCTAACGAGGCCGCCTGCCCCCCAAACTGGATTTTGAACCAATTTCTGCTCACGCTCAGAGAGATTATACAGCCTAGAATATGTATCTGTTAGAGGATTGTTATTCACCAAACATCCTCCAAAATCTGCTGGAAGTATCATCACCAGATTTTGGTGCTGTAAGAAGACGTCCCAATTACCAGATTCTTACTCTTAGTAATTGAATGATGTCTAAGGGCAAAGGGGGGAGGTACTGTTAGGGCAACGCTTAGTAGACCACTCCATATCAGTTGTTCCAGGCTGCTAGAGATGATATATTGCAAGCCTACCCTAGGGCGGTATAATCTTTTTACTGAATCACATGAATCGTGAAATTTTAAGGAATATTTTGAGTCCATGCAATGCAATTGCATCAAGACGTCTACGTCATAATGAGAATTGATAATATCTTAGACATATTCCTGAATTTAGCATTTTCTGCAAACTGGATTGCATCTTAACGCATGATCTATTGTGTCAGAGAAAATGATGGATCTAAAAAAGTTCGGTTTATTTCGCTCTATAAAAAGATTAGAAGTAATTATCTGTATTAGAACAAGAGCAAAAGAAGTTATTGTATATATTGGTCTTGTTCTTTTAGACTGGAGTTCTTTATGCACTTAGTGTCAGACTCCTGTTTTCTTAGGCCCTTGCATTTTTTTCATTTTTTCTATGAAAGTTTAGTTTCTTACCCTAAAAGAAAAAAAAATCCTTGAAGGGTTCTTCTTTCAGTATCTGGGGAGAGGGGAGTTGTTTGGACAAGTGGGTGAAAAAGGGGAGCGAAGATGATTCTTCTAGCTCTATCCTTGTTGGTTGCAGTTACTCACATCTTAGATAAGTCATTATCGATGTGCGTGTTGTCGTATTTCCATAGCAGTTCAAAAGTTGGATCGCGAGATACAGAAATTTCGAAAATATTTTTATGCTCAACTATAGAAATGTCTTCTTGTGCTCTAATCTATTTCAATGCTCTTAATCTAATGCCTTAAAATCCATTGTGCAGATTCTTCCTCTCTTTAAGAAGCATACAGTGTTACATTTTAATAAAACAGATGCACGCTTGGCAAACAATGGAATCCCAGTTTACTTACAGAAACTCAGATGTCGAGTCAATTTTCAGGCACTGAAATTCTCCCCTCAGATTGAAACATTGGGTTATAAGTTAATTCGTCTACTTCAAGAAAAGGGACCCATTGTGGTCTTGCATCTGAGATACGAGATGGATATGCTGGCCTTTTCAGGTTGTACACATGGCTGTACGACGAAAGAAGCCGATGAGCTCAAACAAATGAGGTTCGTAAATGTGAAAATTAAACTTCTGAGGATCCAATCACTGAATTCTTTTCCTTGTTACTGTTCACAATCCGTCTAATAACCCACTACAAATTTCTGGTGTATATTTCTAAGAAATATAAATACCATGTTGGTGGTTTCAGTTGCAAGAGCAAATTTTTTAACCTGTCTCAAATTTGGTGTTTATATTTTCTCCCTCTAAATATTCTGGTTTATATATACCTTCTACTATCTCTGCAATCGTTGTGGTTTATACCAAACTGATCATCTGGAGATTCTGCTCAAGTGAAATACTAATCTATAGTTGAACTTTATTCAGATATGCATTCCCTTGGTGGAGAGAGAAAGAGATATTGTCTGAAGAGAGGAGATCACAGGGTCTGTGTCCTCTGACTCCAGAGGAAGCGGCACTGACATTACAGGCCTTGGGTTTTAACAAGGAGACACAGTTATATATTGCTGCCGGGGAGATTTATGGTAGTGAACGGAGGCTTGCAACTCTCAGGGAAGCCTTCCCAATGACTGTGAGTACTATCTCAATATCTTGTGCTCAAATTATCACGTTTTGATGTGACTTTATCTGAAACATGTCTGTGAAGGCCATTGGCTGGAATTCAGACGACCTTTGATGTCATCTGCATGAATTTACACCTTCTGGTGCAACTACTTTGGAAAATATCTGTGAAGAGAATTAGTTGAAACTTAGCACGACTTTCTGGGAAATCCTTACACTTTTTTTCACGTCAAGCTAGTTTTTTCATCTCCACAAAAAAAGAAGTTAAATTGTAGAGTTGGTCTCCATGTACCCAAAGTTTGAAAAGTTGCACTTAAACTCTGAAGTTTGTCTCGGTTTACGTGTTGTTTATGTGAACATATCTAAACCCATGGGAAGTGAATTTTGGGGTTAGAGTTGGGGAAAATATCATAAATTGGGATGTGGGGTTGAAAAGAAGGAAGATGACAACAAATATGGCTCACACATGCTATGTGTCTTTGTTTTCTCCTTTATGTGTTTAGATTTGTTCACATAAGCAAAGACAACTTTTCCATGTATGAATATAATGGCAAAAAGCCTGCAAGAGTTGTTTTGTATCCTATGTTAAGGGTTGAAATGAAAATTTTCAAAGTTTAAGAGTTGTGAGATCCCACGTCGATTGAAGAGCTGAACAAAGCATTCCTTATAAGGGTGTGGAACCTCTCCCTAGCAGATGCGTTTTACAAACCTTGAGTGGAAGCCCAGAAGGGAAAGCCCAAAAAGGACAATATCTACTAGCGGTGGACTTGGGTTCTTACAAGGGGTATAATTGAAACCAACTCTGTAGTTCAAGGGTATTTTTGATAATTTAACCAAAAAAAAAAAAAAAAGAGGAGGCATTCTAGGAAACCCTTTGCAGAAAAAAGTGAAGCTATTCTATCATTAGACACTGTAGTAGCGAAGAAACGGTCTTTAAGGTTTACACTACAGCGACCGTCAAATTCTTCTCAAATGCATTACCCTATTGTATTGCAGGTGAAAAAGGAAGCATTGCTATCCCCAGAAGAACTGAAGTTATTTCGGAATCATTCATCGCAAATGGCAGCTTTAGATTTCATGGTTTCTGTAGCCAGTAACACTTTCATTCCTACCTATGACGGTAACATGGCAAGACTTGTGGAAGGTCACCGGAGGTATGCCACATTCTCTCCTTTGTGAATGTAGGATGCCCAATTTGTATCACAGGCTGAGTTAATTTATACTGCTCACAGATACCTGGGGTTTAAGAGAACAATAACCCTGGATAGGAAAAAGCTAGTAGAACTGGTGGATATGCATCAGAATGGTACTCTTTCTTGGGATGACTTTGCAGCTGCTGTAAGATTGGCACATGAGAAAAGGCAAGGTCAGCCACTGCAACGGAGAGCCATTCCAGACAAGCCAAAGGAAGAAGATTACTTTTATGCCAATCCACATGAATGCTTCTGTGAGGGAATGAACTGCCATCATAGTAACTCAAGTGAAGTACTTTAACTGCCACTGACAAAACCCAGAACCCCAACTTTGTTCATGGCGTTCCAGGGGGGAGATCTTCTCGCTTTCGTTGCACGGTGCCCAGTCATGTCAATACTCAAAGCCTGAGAGGTCTGTTTATACAAAGCAATAGAAATAAGATCCTTTAGAATTCTCCCTTGAACATCCATGCATTTGTTTATATAGTTTTATATAACTCTTTTTCAATCCTGCCATAAAATTTTATCATTTGTATCAGATGAGTGGAGTGTGTGGGAACAAGTAGAATTCTTCTTTCGACCTATTTTGAATAATTATAATGTTGAAATAGAGTGAATCTTAATATCTCTTAGTTAAAAGTACTAAATTGCTACATCAATGGAACCATGACTCAAATCAGTGAAAATGAAGGTGGAGGACTCCTCCTTACACTACAAAAATTGAAAATAAAATTGTATAAAGCTTGGAACACCTCGAGGCCACTGCTAATAGATATTGTCTGCTATGGCTCGTTACGTAGTGTCATCAGTCTCACAGTTGTAAAACGCGTTTGTTAGGGAGAGGTTTTCACACACTAATAAGAATGTTTTGTTTCCCTCTCTCCAACTGACGTGGGATCTCACAATCCCTCCCTCTTGGGAGCCAGCGTCCTTGTTGACACATTGCTCGATGTCTGGCTATATTAATATAATTTGTAACAACTCAAGCTCACCGCGAGCATATATTGTCCGATTTGGCTCGCAACGTATCATCATCAACCTCACAGTTTTAAAACGCGTCTACTATGGAGAAGATCTAGCCCTACTCCGACCAGTACTAGTATTTCTTATAAGGGTGTGGAAAGGGGAACAGAGTATTCATTTTAAAGGTGTGAAAATCACTTCCTAACCTGTATGTTTTAAAACTGTACAAGTGGACAATGTCTAGTAAGTTCTACTTACGTTGGATAAAAGTGAGCTGACTTTTGAGTTCATTATTTTATACTTCTTCTCCATAGAAGTAGTAACGGTCTAATTATGTCGTTAGACTACTAAAAGTTGAATGAGGAGAAAATGTTACAGTGTTTTTTTGACCTTTTCCTTCCCAGAATCAGGTAAATATAATAACATTATATGGTAACAAAATTCAAAATTTACTGTACCTTCTTCTTATCTGTCATGTTCCAGAAATTTCTACTCTTCCCTGGCAAGAATGAGCCCACAATTTTGTGAGCGCCATATAAAAAGGGTAGCACCCAACCATCTTTTCAGGTCAACGCTTATGAGGCCTTTGGAAAATTCTGAAAGGGTAACGTAGTTCTTTAGGAACAACTCCACTTTCCTCTAATCCATATTTAATGCTTAAAATATCTTCTTAAAAACACATTAAAAGCTGAAAGATATCATTTTTATTTAAATACGTGTATTTATTTATTTATTTATTTATTTATAACATATACTCTCGATTAAAAGGTAATTTTTTTTTTTAAAGATGGTCTTATTTTTACGTTCTAAACTACCGGATAATTTTTTTTTTCCAGAGTTAGGTCAACTATTTCTAAACCAACGATATTTAACTTTTCAGACAAAATGACTTTAGGTAAACATTGTAGACTTCAAAACTTAAACCATTAATTAGTTTTCAAATTAAAAATTTAAACAAATACCCAAAAAGAAAATCCATTTTGTAACTTAGAAAACTATTTAATAAGCTATTGAAATTATAAATTTAGTTAAATAAAAAAAATTATTTAATAAATCCTTAAATTTATATTTAAAAAAATTAATAGATTTTTGGTATATCAGATATTTTTAAAAGTTGATAAGTAGATAAAAAAAAAAAAATGGATTCGATTGGACATAAATTTAATTTTATATCTAATAAATAATTTTTTTTATTTATAAAAATTGATTATATAAGAATCTATTAAACACAAAGTTAAAAATTCATAATCAAGTCAGTGTTTAATACATGTTAAGAGCTAGATGAGATGACGTATGAGTGATGCAAGACGAAAACTTAATAAAATTAATTTAATATTGATGCATAATTAAAATAATTAAACGTGATAATCCCATAGTATGAACATATCAACACGTCCATATTCGTATCTAATTGTAAAGAAAATAAAGTAATTTGAAAATTTGAATTTAGTGGAATGCTTTGAGCAACAAAAGGTTGAAGGCTCAATAATATATATTAAAAGGGTTTTGTTTAGAAAATTCTAAGCCAAAGACACTTAGTTCATGAAAAGTTTTTTTTCTTCTTTTTTGTGTCAAACAAAGTGGTTGAGATAATTATTACTGCCTTAGCTTTTGGAAAATGCCACAGTTTTTGTTTTGTTTTGCTCAAAATTGACTTGCTGAAAAAGGAAATTTTTGAATTTTTCTTCTCCGAAAACCGACCTACAAAATTTTCCTTGTCTCGGTAATGCGATAAGGATGGTGTGACACTTGTTCTAACCTAGTAAACAAGCTAGTTATATAAAATTTGAACTTCGTGAGCAATATCGACATATACTCGAGTCTTAGATTGCATTTGAGAGAAATATTTTGGAAACATGAACTAGGAAACACGTTGAAATCAATTCTAAAGAAATTAATGTTATAAGCTAAAAACAAGTATGCAACAACAAGGGCTTTAATATTTAATATTGGCGGTTGGGTTTTGCTTAGAAACATTAATCATGGTCGGGTTGTTGGTGCAAGAAAAGAGAGTAGTCATAGCTCCAATGGTCCTAGATAGCATTTATTACGGTTATAAGCTCTCTTGTCCAAGAGAAAGAAGGTTCAAGCCAGAGCAATGTGAAATTTTATTAATATATTAAAATTATTTTATTAATCAGTTTAGAAAACATGATTATAAATATGATATAATCAAACCGTCTTAGATTTATCATTAATTTAAATTGAAATTTAGGAAAGACATTGAAGCTAAATAAACGTAGACTTAGTCAACTTTATGAAATACCTTTCCTTTTATTATTTATTATTTCTTTTTCTTCTGAAAAATCATTCGAATATATGCCCATTTCATGTAATGGGTATATTAAAAATTGATTCTTTCTGGGTTTTTTTTTAATTAATTAATTAATTAATTATATATAATAATTTTGATTAAAGACCACCTTTTCAAATTCCGAAGTTTCCAACATCGAACCGTGTTCCTTTGATTGTTCTGATTGACACAGTCGATGTAGTATATATAAATAAATAAATACATAAAAAACAGTCAATGGTTTGAAAAATAAAATAAAAAGCAGTCAATATTTTGATTTTATTTTTCACTCTTTCCTTGTCTCATACGACATCCAAAATTCAATTATCATATTTTCCGTACATATATTTATAATTTTATGAACCTTTTTCGTAAATAATTATTTAATATTATTTTAAGTAAGAAGTGACCGACTGAGTTTTCTCCCCTATCCTGGATGACACGTGTCCTCCATGGTTTGAAATTTCATGCACGTCTCTTTCAATTATTTACACTCTTTTCAACTATAAATACGTCGCCCTTGTGTTGTGTTGCTTTCCATCATAAATTTAAACATCAGCTCTCTGTTGAACACGAGCATCGTCCATAATGAAGTTCGGCAAGCAATTTGCCGCTCAGATGGTTCCTGAATGGCAGCAAGCCTACATGGATTACGAGTTCCTCAAGTCCCTCTTGAAGCAAATCGACACCTTCAACAAAGCCCACGCTCGAAACCACCCCTTAACCGACTCTGCCCAGCTCAGACGGACCCTCAGCCTCTACAGGGCTTTCAGCGGCCTCACCCTACGCCACAGCCACAGCCATGGTCACGGTCACGGTCACGCCCACGCCCACGCCCATAACAGCCATCCTACAAGTCCAGGTTTGTTGCATGATAATAATGATGATAGCAGTGTTAATAATCACGACCCTCCACAATGGTATGATATTGTCTACGTTGAATATAAGTCTCGTGGCTTTACTTTGGGGTCCCTTACTTATAATGATACTCAACAAATAGAGGTTTGGGTATAATCCCATGTGGAGGTTATTGTTACTTGTTAGACGAACACGACTCTCCACAATGGTATGATATTGTACGCTTTGAGGATAAGCTCTCGTGACTTTACTTTAGGCTTCCTCAAGAGGCCTCGTACCAGTGGAGATTGTATTATAAATCCACTCATGATCTTTTACTAAATTAACCCACGTGGGACTCACTTCCCATAATTATCAACAATTATAATTAATTTGTGTACTATTGTTGTGGGGTAGGGTCGCCGCAGGATGCGGTGGAGGAGCAAGCTATATTGGTGAATGCGGTGAGTCGGGACGGGACGAGGAAGTATCGGACGACGTTTTTGATGGCGGATGAGGAAGGGGGAGAGTATGAGTTGGTGTACTTTAGGTCGTTGGATAGAGAGTTCAATAAAGTGGAGAAGTTTTATAAGTCGAAAGTGGAGGAAGTTGTGAAGGAGGCGAGTGTGTTGAATAAGCAAATGGATGCTTTGATTGCTTTCAGAATCAAAGTGGAGAATCCAAAGGGTGTTTGGGATTTCTCCGGCGACCGGTCGGAGGAGATTTCAAAGCTGGCTACTGATATTGCGGTTTCTACTGCTGCTTTGTCATCTTCCACTCCTTCTGGGGTCCGAGCTAGCAGTAAGTTTTTCTTTGTTTTGTGAGTATGAATTGATGACACCCACCTCTTAAATTCTCTACCGAACTCGAAAGCGCGTAGATATTGTCCTTTTTCGGACTTTCACCTCAAGGTTTTAAAACACGTCTATTAGGGTGAGGATTTTACACTTTTACAAAGAATGCTTCGTACCCATCTCCAACCAACGTGGGATCTCACAATCTACCTCCCTTGGGGCCCAGTGTCCTCGCTAGCACACTATTCGATGCATGACTTTGATACCATTTATAATAGCTCAAGTCCACTGTTAATAGATATTATATTGTTTGGGCTTTCCCTTCCGAGGTTCCCCCTCAAGATTTTAATACGCGTCTATTAGGGAGAGGTTTCCACCGACCAATATGTAATTTCACAATCCACCTCCTTCGGAGACCCAACGTTCTCACTGGTACACCGTGCGGTGCCTGGCTCTCATACCATTGGTAATAGTTCAATCCCACCACTAGTCGATATTGATATTGTGGTCTTTGGGCTTTTCCTTATGGACTTCCGCTCAAAGTTTTAAGACATGTCATTCCTTCCATCTCCAACTAATATAGGATCTCACAAATCATAACCTAATAATTAAAGGTTATTGGGTCAAAATAACTCATTTCAAAAGCACTTCTGAACGCTTACGTGTTGGATATACACAGGACGGGTTCATATAGCAATGGACTCCATAGAAGAAGGTGGGTCGAGCCACAAAGAAAGTCATAAACCAGATAACGAATCAAAAGGAGAAAAAGATGGAAAGGAAGAGAAGAACACAAAGGATGAAGAAGGGAAAGAAACGAAGATGAAGGCCAACAGACCACCTCCACTTGAACTTCTTGATCGTGTAACAATGAACACAACTCAAGAGACACCAATATCCACCATTAAAGGCCTTTTCAACTTCCCCAAGAACTCAGAACTTCAATTCAACAGAGAAAATCTCAACAAAATTGAGAACCAACTCAAGAGGGCTTTTGTTGTGTTTTACCACAAACTCAGGCTGCTAAAAAGCTTCAGGTAATTCAATTAAGTCCTTGGTTCTTTCTTCATAACGTGGAATTGTCTGAATTTTCTTTTATTTTTTGATGAACAGCTTCTTGAATACTCTGGCATTTTCAAAGATAATGAAGAAATATGATAAGGTAAATATAGTTGAATTATATTGTTTGTTATATTGAAGATGAGATTCTTCATAATTTGGAGCTTATTATTTGAAAATGATGGCTGCAGATTACTTCAAGAAATGCAGGAAAGTCATACATGAAGATGGTGGACAGCTCTTATCTTGGGAGTTCTGATGAGGTTGCTTTAATTTTCAACATCTTTTAGCTGTAATTGTTTTGAGTTTATGGGACACTTCTTTTCTGGTCAAAATTCTTTTGTTCTCATAGGATATAAAAATGCAATATTTCAAACCCCATTTTCCAAAAAGTCAATTGAAGAGAGTGAAAATTCTCTAAATTTCAATCTAAAATATTTATATATTTTTCTTGCGTTTGAATAATTTTTGAACGCGGGCATAGTTCCGTATAGTTAAGAGTTCGGTGATGTGAGATCTCACGTCGGTTAGAGAGAGAACCGAAGCATTTCTCGTAATTGTGGAAACCTCTCCCTAATAGACGTGTTTGAAAACTATGAAGCTGACGGTGATATGTAACAAGCCAAAACGGATAATATTTGCTAGTGGTGGGCTTGGACTGTTACAAATGGTATCAAAGCTAGACGTCGAGCTTTGTGTGAGCGAAGATACTGGCCCTCTAGGGGGTGGATTGTGAGATCCCACATCGATTGGAGAGGGGAATGAAGCATTGCTCATAAGGGTGTGGAAACCTCTCCCTAGTAAACATGCTTTAAAAGCGTGAAGCTGACGGTGATACATAACACGTTTTAAATATCTACTAACGATAGACTTGAACTGTTATAGGTGATCTCTGTGCGGTGGATGGTTTGTTTTTAGTTCAACAATATGTAGGATAGTTGATAAAAATTTGAACATTTGACCTCTTGGTCAATGGTTCATGTTTTTTATGTCAGTTGAACTATGTTTATATTAGCATAGACGGTTTGCTATGATTCACATAATATCTCGAGTTTCTATACGTGACATTAACTATTGCCATTAAATCAGGTTTCCAAGCTAATGGAGAGGGTGGAAGCTGCATTTATCAAACACTTTTGCAACGCTAATCGGACCAAAGGAATGAATATCTTGCGACCCAAAGCAAAGAAAGAAAGACATAGAATTACATTTTCAGTTGGTAAAGAACCATCATGGATTCTTTTCATTTCAAACCTTTTCCACCACAGACTTCCCTTCGTTGATGTTCATTATTTTGGTTAACTTGAACAAATATTTCAGGTTTCTTTGCTGGCTGCACTGTAGCTCTTATCGTCGCCCTCGCTTTCGTTACTCGAGCCCGACATTTACTAGACAGAGAAGGCAGCACCCAGTATATGGAAACCATGTTTCCTCTTTACAGGTAACTTAAAAGGACATCGTTGTCGTTTTTCGTTTCTTGTTTCCTGATAAAAGAGACATGGTCTGCTGTAAAAGTTAGAGCATTTTAATTCATACCTCTGCTTGTTCAATGCAGCTTGTTTGGATTCGTTGTGTTGCACCTGCTAATGTATGCAGCAAACATATACTTTTGGAGGCGATACCAAGTGAATTACTCCTTCATATTTGGGTTCAAACAAGGCACTGAGTTGGCCTACCGAGAGGTTCTTTTTCCCAGTTTTGCTGTGGCAACTCTTGCTTTAGCCTGTGTTCTTTCTAACCTTGACATGGAGATGGACCCTATAACGAAGTCATATCAAGCAGTCACTGAGCTTCTCCCTTTGGTTTTGCTCCTTGTAAGAAGGGTCTCACAAAAAACTACTCATTTGGCCATAAAACCATTAATTTGTGACTAAAAGTCTGTCTTTTTCTCTGCCTGCAGGTTGTGATTGCAGTCTTCTTGTGTCCACTCAACATCTTATATCGTTCGAGTCGCTTGTTCTGCATAAAAACTTTGTACCATTGCATATGTGCTCCCCTTTACACGGTAAGAAAGATGGGATTTTGAACTTTCGACCTACTGGGAAGGTTCTTGAACTATCCTCTAATGTTGGTTACGTTTCTTCGACAGGTCGTCTTCCCTGATTTCTTTTTGGCAGATCAGTTAACCAGCCAGGTTAGTTACATCATGCTTTTTTTCTTAGGTTCTTCTGTTCAAGAAACTACCTACATCATAGATCCTCAAACAATTACTTCGACTCGATTCAGGTGCAAGCACTTCGTAGCTTGGAATTCTACATTTGCTATTACGGTTGGGGAGATTACAAACATCGACGGGATACTTGTCGAACCAACACTGTATTCAACACTTTCAGCTTCATCATTGCTGTTATTCCATATTTGTCTCGTCTCCTTCAGGTTTGAATCTCATCATCTAACTTTTGATCTCTGTCCAAAGAAAGGAAAAGTTATACCACTAACATACAAACTTTTGTTGGTTTCTCACTCTTACAGTGTCTCAGGCGACTGTTTGAGGAGAAAGATACAATGCAGGGATATAACGGAGTGAAGTACTTCTTGACAATTGTAGCTGTTTGCTTGAGGACAGCTTACAGTCTAAACAAGGGAATAACCTGGAAAGTGTTGGCGGCAGTGTTCTCAGCTGTTGCTGCCATTATATGCACGTATTGGGACCTCGCCATCGACTGGGGGCTTTTGCAGCGCCATTCGAAAAACCGATGGCTAAGAGACAAACTACTTGTTGGTCATAACAGTGTATATTTTGTGGCAATGGTGAGTTTTTTTCTCCAAAGATTTCACTGCTAAAAGCAAGTTAGGGCCATCTTTTTCTAGTTATCTAAACAAGCTGTGGAAATCAAATGCAGTTCTTGAATGTTTTACTGAGGTTTGCTTGGCTGCAAACTGTGTTGGATTTCAAGTTCTCCAACCTGCATACAGAAGGTTTGATTACAATAGTGGCCAGCCTTGAGATCATTCGTCGTGGCATATGGAATTTCTTCAGGTATGACTTAAAAAATTCAGTTTAGGTTGGGTTGTTTCCTCAAGCTGCCTCTTTCTGAAATCTTCAATGGCCCTTCTGGTTTAGGTTGGAGAATGAGCATCTGAACAATGTTGGGAGGTACCGTGCATTTAAATCTGTACCACTGCCTTTCAACTACGATGAAGACGATGACAAAGATGATTAAAGTTTTCCAGACAGTATTCTTTCAAGATATACAGTTTACTTGTTTCAAAATGTTAACAAATCATGTATATTAAATAACACAACATTGCAATAATTTTGACCCTCTCAGGATTCCTTCAAACCTAATGGAATTAGTTCGAAAAACGAACAATTGCTGCCATGAGATCTTAGTTGTATACAAGGGCACACAAATGATCTTTATTTCTGGTGCTTCTCAAAGATAGCAGTGTTTTTTCACCTCTAACGACTTCACAAATATCGTGTGTTAACTGTCTATACTACTATAAGTAAGACACTCTGGTAGATGAAATATTCATTCTAGCAGGGAGACGGCAAATATTCAAACAGAATTGCACTAATTGAACAAGGAAAGGTTAAGCTTTAGAAACTGGAAATGGAAATAAAGAGATATGCTACTAGCACTTTTCCCTGTAAGAAGCCTAAAGAGTGATCAGCCTTACTAGTAGAGATTATGTTGTCTCGAGCTCAATAATACCAAATTTATGCACTCATGAGGAGCTTAAAGAGGAATCAGCTTCAACATGCGGGTTCTGCAGCTGAAATGATAACCAGGTTTTCACACGCACACAAGCAACAGCCATAAATTTGCAATTCAAAGTGATATGTTCAGTAGCTAAAGAACCTTATCTCACCATTCATCTCAAACCATCCTTAAAAGTAGCATAAGATGGGCCTCAAGTGTATAGCCCCTAGCTTCAGTGTGCATCTGAAAAGAAATACTAGTAGGTATCAATGTGTCAAAAGCAAACACTTAATATGACACACCTCTAGGTATTTGTGGGGTGAGTGACTGAACTTTTGGAACAAAAACACAGGCTTACTGTGATCCATCTCACTAATATCAACCTCCTATATCTCAAGAATTTGCACACACAGATTCGAAAAAAAGAAACTATAAACTTGACTGACCCATCTCATTCCAATGGCTCCTCTTGTTTTAGGTTTGAAAGAAAGTATACCAGTGTAGGTATCCTTTCTGATCGATCAGGAAAGTTTTCCCTCTTGTAACTGTCAATTAGTGGCTTGCATGCAACAAATAGAACTGGTTTCATACTAATTAAACATTAGATATAATTCGTAGTGACAATCTAATTGGCAAAAGATCAAATTGTGTAACTACACATCCAAGATTCAAATCCCAGAACTCCAGTTACCATTACAAAATGGACTAGGCAGATAAATATAAGTTACTAATGACAAAGGTAGTATAAGGGACTATGATTGTGGAAAAATGATATTAGGCAACAATGGCACGAACAATTATTCAGAAATTGAATTAAATCGAAAGTGTTGTAAGGTAAAATCTC